CACCACCGGGGTTCGCTCACTGCCCAGCTTCTCTCTGGCACCAAGCACCAGTCATTGGCTCTGTCATCAAATATGTGGGAGCACCCGGGTGTCAGGTCTGGGGATCCGGGAGCCGCAAAACAGATCTGGTCTTGCCCTCGTGGCGTTGGCCACGGGCAGAACAGCAATCACACCCTGTGAGCCCATTAGCTACAAAGAGTCAAAGGTGCACAAAGGGCTCTGTCCGGTTTGGCTCAACGGTAAGAGCGCCGGCCTGCGGACCAAAGGGTCTTGGGTTCGATTCCCGGTCAGGGGCACATACCTGGCTTGCAGGTTTGATCCCCAGCCCTGGTTGGAGTTGTGCAGGAGGCAACCTGTTGATGTGTCTCTTTCACATCAATGTTTCTCTCTCTCTCTCTCTCCTCTCTTCCACTCTATCTAGAAATCGATGGAAAAATATCCTCGGGTAAGGATTAACAACAACAAAAAGTGCACGAAGGAGACATGGGAGGGGAGGGTCAGGGGTGTCTTTAAGATGAGGGGCGGACCCCTCTGAGGCTGTGACACATGAGGTAAAAGTAGGAGGAAGCAGGTGGGTTGAGCCAAAGGTGTGGAGAAAGCTCCAAGCGGTGGTGACATGCAGTAGATCCGAGAGAGTGCCTAGGCTCATTCACTCCGAAACCCCTCAGTGTAGGGTTCTGAGGGCTCTGAGGCTAGGAGCCTGGTTCGAATCCTGCCTCTGCCACTTTCTAGCCTCAGGGCTTTAGAGCAAGCTGCTCACTTCCCTATGCTTCCCGGTAGGGTGGCTAAATAAAACGTCATCCAAATAGGGACAGAGAGTAAAGGGAACACTATTACTAATTAGACAGAACAATGGACCTAAACCAGGTACTGGACAAATGGGGTACGTATACAGTCCCCCCACCCACGGGATGGATAGTAATCATTCCGGTCCACAGAGTTCTTGAAGAAAGCAATAGGGAGACCAGAACTGAGCCTGCTCAGAGGAGCGAGTGGGACAGACAGACGCACCTCTGTGCATCGTCCCAGCTCTTCTGGGTCTGTGTGCTGAAATGGGGAGCGTGGGGAGGTGGGACCGATTTTCCCAAACCAGTTGGCAACAGGGGTGGTTCTGGGGGTTTCTTGGAGGATGGAGAATTTGAGCTGGGCCTGCAAGGGTGAGTATATTTTCTGCAGGCAGAATTGACGGTGGGTGTGGGGGTTGGGAGGGCTCAGCTGAAGAAGTGAGGGCAGGTTTGGGGGTTCTGGATGGAACAAGAGTGAAATGGGAGGGGCACAGAGTTTGGGGCAATGGGCAGGAGAGCTGTGTCCTGCAGATTTGGGGGTATAACTGTCCATGCCCAGATGCTGGGATTGGTCTGCCTGGTCCCCGAGGCCTGGTCCTTGGGGGGAGGACCCCTCCCCCAGCAGGAGACCTGGTCATGAGCTGCCTGGCTCTGCCAGACCAATGTGGAGAGTGCATCCGTCTGTCCAGGCTGCCAAGGCTGCTGGGGAATGTGATGAGGCTGCTGAAATGGGGCCCAGGCCCAGAGGGAGAGGGGCCCCCACCCCGGCAGGGTGGGATCCGCCACAGCTTCCCAGAAACCCGGCCTGGTTCTGCCGGCAGAGACGGGCTGACAAGGTTTGGACTGGAAAGCCAGACCCCGAGGTGCTGGAGTGGGGCCCGCTGCCTGGGAGAGGGTGTCCGGGGCGGGGAGCAGGAGCCCCTCATGCCAGCCAGGATGGACTTCCTCGGGCCCTGTATGTTACAAAGGGATAGACGGAGACCCGGAGCACTGAGGGTCCCACAGCAAAGTCAACAGGAGATACCCAGGAAAGCCCATCTGCCTTTTCTAGCCCAAGGTCTTCCTGCTGCCCTGCTTCCGGACAACCCCCAGCACCCCAATGTCACGGCAGCAGTGGGACAAGGCAGCCCTTGCCTCATATTCTGCTCCGTCACCTCCCAGCTGTGGGATCTTCGTCCGATACCATCACCACACGTAGCCTCAGTGTCCCCACTGCAACATGAGGAGAAATCCATGCCTTGCCCGGTCATTGTGATCCTTCAATAAGACAATGTGGGTGCCAGGCTCGGCACGCTGACTGGCACATTGTAGGTGTTCAGAGACTCCGGATCCCTTCTCCTTCACCGCCTATGTGGTGCCAACCAGCCAGTGGGAGCCAGGGGTCTGTGGAGCAAGTACCCCAACGCCATCAGCGTTTTGGGACACTGAGCAATCTGGCTTCCTGTGGCCCCACTGGGCCCTCAGTCGAGAGCAGCAGGTGGAACACCATTGTATTAGGGGCTCCATGGCACGCACCACGGCACCTGGGCTCGACCGCTGCCCCTGCTGTGCGTGAGAGGGTGCCTCAGTGTTCAAATCTGTAAAATGGTATCATGGTACCCGCCTGGAAGGGGTGTTGGAAGGATTAAGTGAGTAAACACAGTCATGGGCAAAGCACTCAGAGTGGTGCCTGGCACCCAGTAAATCTCTACAAGAGTTTGCTGATCGGGTTTGTTTGTTTGGCTTTTCGTTAACTTGGTCACCCTGGTGTTTGCCAGGTTTCTCCAGGGTGAAAACAACTTTTTAATCCTTTCTACACGTCCTTTCTTTGGAAGGGTGTCACTAGGTCCCATCCACACTCAACGCAGTGGGGAGTTAAACTCCACCTCCTGGAGGGCGTCCTCCGTGGATTATTTGGAATTATTTTCAAAGGGAGATTTGTCCTGTCTCCCCATTTATTTATTTCTTCAATCATTATTTATATCAGTATGGACTCGCAGATATTTATTTTCTACTTTGGGTTGTAGTCTAATTCTATGTTGTTTGCTGTTGTTCCATCGGGTCTAGGTTCGGCCACGTGGGGCCTTGTTCAGGTTGGCTCCTGTGTCTGACATCCCCCATCTGTTTATTTTTCTAGCATTTTCTTCCTCTCTCGAACTACAAGATGTCCCGGACTCCTTTCCTCTTTCCTCTGCCTCAGCCCTGGAACCAGCCCTTTCTCCAAGGAGCCCCGTTCCCTTGGTTAGAGAGCGGTGTTTAGGAAGATCGGGGGGACAAATGTGCTTATTGCTACCGGGGTGTCACTGCGTCCAAGCCCTCCAGGGGACAGAGCTGGGTTTGTTTTAATTTTTTTTAAAACTTACGTTTCCCCTCTTGGTATTTGTGGGGTCTGCTGGAAGCTCCAGACAGCTGCCCACCGGCCTTTGAACACAGACCCCGTCTGCCGCCCACGGGCCTGAGCAATCTCAGGTGCCCTCGGAGGGCCTGTGGCTGGCAGGGCCCTGAGGGAGAGGGCGCATGAAGTCACCTCGCCCCGCCCACGCTGAGCCACTTCCTGCGTCCACTCCTGCTCACCGGTGGGCCACTGGGTGGCTGAGTTGCTTTGGGAAGGGGACCCAGGCCTTGGGTGCCCAGATGGCTGTGGGATTGCAGGTTTCTCCTGCTGAAATGACATCCCTCTCAGGGGTGGTGGCGGCAGCCATAGCCCGGTGACAGAGCCTTGGTCTCACACAGGAGAGGCTGGGCAAGAGTTAGGTCCCAGAAGCGCCTGACTCAGCCACACGCCCCGCACGCCCAGGCGGCCCAGCACTAACGGAAGGAAGGCCCGGTGAGCTGGTCCCTGCACTCCCTCACCTTTCCCAACCAGCCCTGCCGACACTGCACTACTCATTGATGTTCAGTGGGCCAGGACCCAGAGCCGGCTCCCCAGGGAGGCAGCTCTCCTGCAGGGGCAGGGGCAGGGCAGAGTCTCAGGCTGGTCTGAGACCCAAGGCAGGCTGGGGGAGGGCCCTCTCAACTTGCCAGAATGTCTCTTCTGTCTCCCTACAGGTTGGGAGTCAGGGGGCCTGGAACTTGGGCCTGCCTGTACCAGGGACTTCTGTCTGGGGCACAGTGATCATGCCTCACCCTGCTTAAAATCTTCAGTGGCTCCCCATTGCCCTCAGCTTAAAAGCCCTGCTCCTAGGCCCTGGGGATCTTTTCAGTACCCACATCTCTCCCTGATATCAAATTGCTTGGGGTTCCCCTTGTGCAACCTCATGGTTTTCCGATACCACAATCCTCTCTGCCTGATCACCCTCGTCTACTGCCTCACTGGGTAACTCCTAGTTGTCCCTGAGATCTCAGCTCTGGGGTCACCTCCTCCAGGAAGCCCTCCTCCTGTGCCCCGGATCATCTCTGCTCACCTGGTTGTGTTCCCGGTCGCCTGTGTGCCATACCTTCCTAAGGTGCGGACCTCTGGCATCGAGGGCAGCAACCTGGTATAGCAGAGGGCTCAGGGTTTGAAATCAGGGTCCTGGCCTCCCTCGGGGCCTCTGCTCCTTCCTGCTGTGTGACGTAAAGCAAGTCACCGCTCATCTCTGAGCCTGTCTCCTCGGCTGTGAGGAAAGTATCCAACCAGGATTGCTGGCCCTGCTTTCAACGTCGGCCTGTCTCCGACTTGCAGTGTGGCCTTGGGCAAGCCCTGTCGCTGGACCAGCCTCGGTTTTCTTCTTCTGTGAAACGGGGCCACTTACAAAACTCAGAGTGCTTTTCCAACACACCGAAACTCGTGAAAACCTTTTGTAAACCTCAGAGCTCAGCATGACAGTCGAAGAATGTATTTCAACAGCCCCATGGAGAAGTGTAGGAGGGAGGCCCATGGCTACTCTCGCCCCTCTCCCGCCTCCCAGCCCTCCAGAAGCCTTGAGATCAAAGGTGACAGAGACCTGTTGGCATGGAGGCTGGGCTTGGCTGGGCCTGCTCCCTGGCTCGCTGCCCGCCCCCCGCCCGCCCCCTCTCCCAGGGTTACATGACATGTGTGCCTTGCGAAAGAAGCTGTTTAAAATACTTGGGGTGGAGGTGAATCCTTCGCCACCCCCACTTCCAACACCGAAGACCTCTCTGCCCCGCTCCCCCCTCAAAAGGCAAAACCAAGATCAGTCGGATCCCATCTGCAACTTTATTCCAGAGCAGAAGTAAGTCATTTCCTAACAATAAATATAAAAAAAATAATAATAAATTAAGGTTCGAAAAAAATTTCCAACAAAACAAAATCATTAACACTGACGGAGTCATGAACGCTGTCTAGAGAGGCGAGCGATGGATGGACCAGCCCCCCGCCTGGGAATGTCTGACACGGGCCTTCCTCTGCCCCAGGCCCTAGCCGGGCCCCTATCACACACACATTCTTTCCACAAAGTACAAAATATATATCTAAAAAACCTCAGCACAACCAAGCATCCTTTGAGGGCCCTGGGGAAGCAAGAGTTCGGGCCCTGGGGGCTGAGGACAGGGCCGGGTCTGCAGAAGGCACAGGAGCCTGGGAGAACGAACGCCTTTGGGTCTCTCCCAGCTGAGTCGGCGGGTCTAGCCTCTTCTCGTGAGTGGGTGGAGCTTGAGGTACCCTGTTCCCGCGGCCACTGGGTAACCCCCCTACCTCCTGAGACAGGGAAAGGGAGGTCAGTTTGGAAATGTCCCCCATGTATGTCTCAAGGGCGTGGCAGGGCTCCTGCCCCCGATGCTAGGAACACGGTGGTGCCTACTAAGTGCTTGGCTGACTGTCCTTTGTGGGCGAAGCACCCCCAACCCGGGATCCCTGAGCATCTCCTCAGTTCAGGCCAAGGTGTCGTCCGAGAACCGTCCAGCGAAGGCCTCAAGTGGCATCGGTAAAAAACAACTAGAAATAAATAAGGTCCCTAGTGGCCAGGCACGGGGCTGGCAGGGAGGCCGCTGTTTCTTCAAGTATTCTCTGCCTAGGAGTGCAAGGCCGGTCGGAGCTCAGATGGGGATCCCCACTGTGTTCACTTGGTCCTTGAGTCCCAGCAGGCTGTAGGCGATGCGCTTCTGGTGGCCGGGCAGCCGCACCCCGATCTTCTTGATGTCACTGTGGTTGGAGGGAGAGAGGGAGAGTCAGAGGCTGGCGTGGGAGAGATGGGCAGCTGTGGGATGGGGCCGAGGTGGGGAGAAAAGGAGGGGGCCTTGGGGCCCTGGCAGGGGGGCACGAGTGAGTTCCAGTTAGGCAGAGGCCTGACGGAAGGATCTACATCCTGAAAGCTTGCTAACTCTGACAAAATTAAGAAAATGATAGACGCAACAACTCCGTGAACAGTTTTTTTTTTCTTTAAATCACATCTGCAGGATTACCTGCGAAGCAGGTGCTCTTTTCACGCTCATTTTGTAGACTGGAAAACTGAGGCACAGAGAGGTAAAGGAACTTGCCCAGAGTCACACAGCGAGGGGGTGGAAGAGCTGGGAATCAAACCAGCCGTGAGCATTGCATTCCCTCCCCCACCTCAGCTCTGTCCCTAATGTCCTCGGCTAAGGCCTCCTCCCAGGCAGCACTGATGCCATCACCAGGAGCAGGGCCCTTCTCAGGCTGTGCCTCAAAGGTCTCTTCCCAGCCCTCACTTTATTTCACCCCCCTGCTCCCTCCAAGTTCTCACGGCTACTAACTGACCACGGACTCAGAAAATACTTGTGAGGGATCATCAGGGGTTAAAAGTCTGCTGGTCTCTAATGAGAGGGGCTTGCAGGCCACCTGAAGCAGGTGTTTCCCCTTTAGGACCCAATTTCTTCGCCTGGAAAATGAAATAATAGTGCCCAGCTGGAGGTGGGAGACCCCAGAAACCAGTGGCAGAGGAGAAAGGCGGCACGGGTACCAGATAGAAGGGTGCGCCCAGGAGCGCACAGCCCACACCCCTGCGCCCCTTTCCATGCCCCTCCATCCCCTCGTGAAACCACGTCTGCTCCTGGAGCCCTGGAGCAGGACGGTTATTGCTCACTCTGGAAGTTTTCTCCCTGCCGTCCTCACCCACCAGCCCAAACCCATGAAAACACCCAGGTTTTTATGGGCCGTCTCCTGGCTGTAAATGGAGCTAATTATATGGTGCAAGTTCCTATTTGCAATTCCAGAGACATGACTTTCCCACCGGCGCTGGGAGCCTGCGGAGAAGTCCTGAGCAGGGAGGGTAGACCCAGGTGGGTAGGGGGGGGTGGCTCAGGGACCTCCAGGAGGGGCCAGTGGCTCCCCCTGCAGCAGGAGCCCAGGAGCTGGACACCTGGGAGAACTGCTTAGTCTTCACTGCAGCACCATTTCTATCCTGAACAGCTGGGGGTGTTACAGAAGAAGAGCAGCGTTCCCCTTCCCCCCAAAGGCTTCACAGTGTGGCTCCCAGAGAAGCATTTGCACCTCTGGGGGGAAGAGAACAGATCCTGGGCCTTGAAATTCGGAAGTGGGACCCGGAGTCTGCATTTTATCAGCTCCCGAAGACCCTGGTGGGTGGTTTAAGAACCACTGAGCTGCCCTGGCTAGTTTTGCTCGGTGGTTAGAGCGTAAGTCCATAGACCAAACGGTCTTGGGTTTGATTCCCAGTCAAGGGCATGTGTCTCGGTTGCAGGTTCAATCCCTGTCCCTGGTTGGGGTCATGCGGGAGGCAACCAATCGATGCGTCTCTCTTGCATCAATGCTTCTCCCTCCCTTCCTCCCTCGCTCTTACTCTATCTAAAAAAAAAAAAAAAAATCAATGGAAAAATATCCTCAGGTGAGGATTAAGAACAACAGAAAAAGAACCAGTGGGTTGCTTTTAGTTTGCCATCTTATCAGCAGCAGTGGTAGAAGCTGCTCATCAAGTTTTGCTGCCGCCCAAGGACAACAAGAACAAAGATGCCGGAAAGTCAGCCAAGGAAGACAGAGACCCAGGGAACAGCTGGGGGCGAGGCCAGAGAGAAGACGTGGTCCAAAGGCCAAGTGTGGGACCAGCTCAATGACCTAGTCTCGTTTGACACAGCACGTATGACAAACTCGGTAAGGAAGTTCCCACTACAGTTTATAACCTGGCGGAGACCCGCGGTCCCTCCGCCAGGGCGGCCCGTCTGGGGCTCCGTAGCGAAGGACTCACTAGACTAGTCTCCGAACCCAGAGCTCAAGTAATTTACACCAGACACACCACAGGTGGGGCTGCATGACAACATGGCCTACCATCGGAATATTAAAAAAATAAAACTTTATTTTATTAAAAAAAACAATAACAACAGAGGGTTATGTGAGCTATAGGAGGGTAATGGTTGAGACCTGGTCCCCTGGGCCCATCCCCTCCTCCCGAAGCCCTCCAAGGTCTAGGATAGGCCTGGTACACAGTAGGTTCTCAAAGACTGTTTGATGGATGAATGAATGAATGAGTGAATGAATGAATGAATGAATACTTGAATGGATACTGAGCCATTGCCCAGGTTGCTTTTGGGCCTGTCTCCCAGACTGGTGTGTGGTTCATGTGACAGGGGGGGAGCTGAGGTTGCTTACGAGGCAAAAGCCCTAGGCTAGGAGGCAGGAGGCCGAATTCTAGTCTTGGACTCCATCAAAGCCTTGGTCCATCCTGTCCTGTCTTCGGGCCTCCGTTGTTTTTATACGTAAAATGGGAGGCTTTGATTAGATGCTTCTGAGCCTCCTGCCCTAGCCCCATTCTCTTTCAACACAGAGCCCCCCAAAGCCTCCCCTGCCTCATTTCCTAACCACGGAGACACACCAGCCTGTTTCCCTCTTGGGATCCAGGGCAGTCCTCTCATCAAATCCCATTACAGGGTCAAGGAGACACATGGCTGAGCCCTGGCCCCGGGACATTCGAAGGCCACACCTCCCCAGGGAGCACCTAATGTGCCCCCTGGACACGAGGAGCGGGGAGTGAGAGATGGCCGCACCTGTCCGATCATCCACTCAGCAAACATTCCATCCGCACCAAGCCTATGCTGAGGCCATACACAGACCGTAAGACCCACCAGCCTGTGCTCCCCGCCCCCCCCAGCACGTTGCCCTGACACTGGGCAGGGCCTTCTGGGAGGCTGAACATTTTTCAGGGGTGCAAAACCACCACTGCATTTGCTCCTCAAAACCATTTAGAACCACTAGTCCAGAAACTCAGTGACTCCAAAATAACCACCTGGGGGACACTGTAGCTAAGAAAAGGTGGCCTGTGTGGGACCGCAGGGGAACCTGCAGCCAGCCCCGTGGGAAGGCGCTGAATTCTCCTGAGACCGGCTCAGCACCTCCCGCTGGGACCCCGCGTGTGCAGACACAGCCTTCAGACGGACAAAGTGCTCTGAGATCCCCCTTGATTTCACGTAGTTGAAATAAAGAAGGAGGCTGTGGTGATGTGAGTCACGCGGACCCCAGCTCCGAGCACCAGCGGGCTGGTGGGAGGAGGAGGGAGCATGGAATGACTTCCTGCCTTTATCCAGGCCTTTTCAAAACACAACACACACCCGCACACACATACAGCCTCCTTCCATCCAAGATAGCCCTGTTCCTGCTCGTGGGAAAGGAATTGGCCAAGGAGCACCCCGGGCTATTTCAGGAAGCCTTGGAGAACATGTGTTTCCTGTAAGTACTTCTCTGGCCCTCCGCTCGCTCACCCAGAGGAGAAGCTGCACTGTCCTTGGTGGGAGCCCCTGGAGGGGCAAAGGGGGCTGTACCAGGTTCCCAGGGGAAAGGAGGGCAACCCAGGAACCCGGGCATTTGCCCACGGCTGCGGGTGGGAAGCCAGGGAAGAGAGGATTAAGCCCCTACAGGGCACCTGGCATGTCATCTGCATTGTACCCACGCGGTCCCCACAACGGGGAAACAAAAACCAAGGCTCCAAGATGAAATCTAATTTGACTGAAGTCACCTGCCCGGAAGTGGCCAATGTGGGACTTGAACCCAGGTGTGAGTGCAGAGCCCAGGCTTGGGACCCTGCAGCTGGCTGGCAGCAAAAGGCATCCTTGACCCTGGCCGGTTTGGCTCAGCGGTTAGAGCGTCGGCCTGCGGTCCAGAGAGACCCGGGTTCGGTTCCCACTAAGGGCACGTACCTCGGTTGTAGTTTGTTCCCAGCCCTGGTTGGGTCGTGTGGGGGGCAACCACTCAATGTGTCCCTTTCACGTCCATTTTTCTCTCTCTCTCTCTCCTTCCCACTCTATCTGAACAAAATATGGAAACATGTCCTCGGGTGAAGATAAAAAAAGGCATCCTGGGACCTGTCTTCTCTGTCCACATCGCCATGTCTCCCTCTGGCCAGCTCTGTCCTCGCCTGACTCCTATCCCCAGCTGTCCTCTGGGACAGACCATGGCCTGGTCTGAGAGGCCTTGATCAGCAGTTTGGAAAGCCCAGCTAAGTGGTTTTCAGAGGCCCTGGAGAATGTCCATGCTCAGGCCCAAATCCCAGAACTTCTGTGACCCAGAACTGTGAGAGGCGGGGGTCATCCTCTCCATGTGGTTCCCAAAACCATCCAGCCCCAGGGTCCATTCCTACCATGACCTTGGACCCTGTACAAGTGAGGCTGTTGGGGGACATGACACTATTTTTAGAGGCACTAAAGGCTAAGAGGATAATGTCTTCTCCCTCCTCGGGTGGGAAGAAGTGTCCCTGCCAAGGCCATGCTGGGAAAGGTCCTGATGCTGGAGCTGGGAGGGGAGATGAGCCCCCATAGGACAACTATGGGCAGAACCCAGAGCTGGGCAAGGGGTAACTGGCACTGTTTGCTAGGCTGATAGTCACCATGTGGGGAGAGCTGTCTGGGAGGGGTTGGCCGGGGCCCTTTCTCCTGGGCATCAGCCAGGGTGTCCAAGGGCTCTGCCCATTTCTTCCCAGCATCCTGGAAAGGAATATGCTGCCTGGAACAGTGACCTCAGGCAAGTCACGGAACCTCTGAGCCTCAGTTTCCCCACTTGTGAAATGGGGAAGTGTTAACAGCATCTATTCAGAAGGCGAACAGGGAGCTCAGTCAGCAACGGCTATGAAGGGAAGTCATTCCTTTCTCAGATTCCCGCAGATGAGCTGTGTGACCCGAGGTAAGCCCTGGAATGTCTGAGCCTCAGTTCCTCCACTAACGACCTCCACGGTCCCTGAGCTCTGGACCCTGACTGACCAGGGCTGGAATCCTCCTCTTCCCCTAGTGGCTGCAGGACCCTGGACAGGTCACTGCACTTCCTGCACCTGCTTCTCACCTGCCCAGTGAGAACACTGACGGGACCCACCTGCCGAGTCAGCACGACTGACTCCAGGTGCGCATGCCCAGAGCCAGCGCACAGGCTCCCTCAGTAAACGCTACTGCGCGGGGACAATTACTGTTACTTTCCCACTCTGGAACAAAGACGCCGGAAGAAGAGGGAGCCAAGCAGAACTGCTGGCTGCCGGCCTGGTTCTGCCCTTCCTGCGAAGCCTCTCTCCCCAGAAGAGGAGAGAGAAGAGGGGAGGGTGGTGGGACCGGGGGCGGGAGGCAGGCGGGCGCACGGGCAGAGCCCAACTCACTCGCTCGTCATCTGTACCACCTTCTCGATGGCAGTGTAGCCGGCCGCCAGGAAGTGCTCTGTGTACTGCTGCATTTTGATGGACTCGAGCCACTCGGACACCGTGCGGAAGGGCACCCCCTCCGAGCCGCTGGTGCTGGGCAGCCGGATGGACACCCTGCAATACGAACCACCCACCGTCGGTCAGGGGTTGCAGCACCCAACCCTCCCTGGGCCCTGAGCCTGCGGCTCCCTACCCTGGGCGTTCACCCAGCTGCCCGGGCCTCAGTTTCCTCACCCAGGAAATGGGAAGGCCAAGGCAGGTCGGTTCAGGGAGACAGCCTGACATGTTGGGAGCACTCAGTGTTTCTAACTTACTGCTGCCCCCTCGGCCCCTCCCGACAAGACCACCATCAATAAGCACAAAATAGTGAAACGCTGACAGAGAGATTCAGGCTCCTAGAGCCCCGGTCCCAGCCTGGCTACTCTCCCTGTCTCAGTTATTTGTCTATGGAAGGAGGAGTAGAGGACCCACCTGGAGGTTGTTTAAACGAGTTGAAACAGGCAGAGGCTGAAGCAGGGCCCGATGCAGGGCCCCGCGCACCCAGCACATGTGTGGATGGCTTTTATCAGGGCTGCCCGAGCCAGGCCCTGTCGTCTAAGGGAAGCCCGTGCGCAGCTTCTGAACCCCTCGCCTACCCGCCCTGGCTGGCTGCTAAAACTGGGACTCACCGGGGGTCAAAGTCAGCCAGGGTCTTGAGGGAGTCGGGAGCTCGGATGAGCTTGTCCAGGATGCTGACGATGTCGGCGAACTTGGGGCGGCGGGCCCGCTCCTGCTGCCAGCACTGCATCATGAGCTGGTAGATGGCGGAGGGGCACTCCATGGGTGTGGGCAGCCGGAAGCCTTCGTTGATGGCTTTCATCACCTGGTGGGGGAGGGGAGGCAGGATGCCTTCTCAGCCCCCAAACCCACCAGGTCCCCCGGGGAGCGCCAGTACACGGAGGCGGGCAGAGGAGGGACAGGATGGGCCTCCTTTCTTGAGCCAACACACAACGTTCAGAGATGTGCAAACAGCAAGTGCTAAGGGCCGTCTCCAGACTTCCATGGAGGAAGGGACTCCCGATCCCGCCCAGGGCACCCAGGCAGCAGCCACACTGTGCACCCTGCAGGCGGCCTCCCTCCAATCTCTGCACGTCTATCCACGCTGCGGCTAGAGCGCTCTTCGCCTCCTTGTGCTCACCTGGCTACCTTACTGTGCTTGGTCTCAGGGCCTCCTCTGGGAAGTCTCCCAGACCTTCAGGCCAGGTGAGGCACCAGGCCTGTGCACACACACACACACACACGCATGCACCCACAAGTACACACACACACGAATGCACATACATGCACACGCAGATACTCACACGCACACGCATATACACCATTAACTGGTTTCGTTGCCTTCCCCTGACTATAGTTGGAGACTGGGTCTAGAACCCAGCACAAGGCCTGGCACATAGTAGGCCCTTCACAAACATAACCCAACAAACCAGATAAGATCAGTACCCGAAACTCTTCTCCGGCCCAGCCCTTGGTTTCGGAATGAGTAAAGAGTTTAAGTTCAGGTCAGGGGCAGGCCTGGGCAGGACGAGGGGGTTTACCTCATGGTTCGACAGCTCCCAGTAGGGCCGCTCGCCGTACGTCATCACCTCCCACATGACAATGCCGTAACTCCACACGTCGCTGGCCGAGGTGAACTTGCGGTAGGAAATGGCCTCCGGGGCGGTCCAGCGGATGGGGATCTTGCCACCCTGCAGGGTACCCAGGCCCAATCACCACTGTCCTCTCTGGTCGTCTCAGGACTAGTGCAGCTAGACTAGATTCTGCAGTCAGGGCCCCTCCTCTGTGCTCCCCATAGGTATTCTTGCCTCCTGAGGTCCACGCCCCAGGTGTGCGGGTGCAAGGGCCCCACAGCAGGGCAAAGGCTGCTTCAGCCTCAAGCCCCCTACCCCTGGCAGCGATAGCCCGTCTGGGACTCACACTGGTGGTGTAGGTGGCCTCGGGGTCGTCCTCCAGCACACGGGACAAGCCGAAGTCAGACACCTTGCAGACCAGGTTGCTGTTGACGAGGATGTTGCGGGCGGCCAGGTCGCGGTGGACATAGTTCATGTTGGCCAGGTACTTCATGCCTGCCGCAATGCCCCGCAGCATGCCCACCAGCTGCAGCACGCAGAACTCGCCATCCTTCTCCTGCCAGAACACAGGCCTCAGCCACCAGCTGACCCCAAGTCCAGCAGGGCACCCCAAGACTGCCACCATGGGTTCCAGCCCACCTCAGCTCACATCCTTACCCGAAGGAACTTGTCCAGAGCCCCATTCTCCATGTATTCAGTGATGATCATCATGGGCTTGTCTGCAGGGGGCGGGGAGATGTAAGGGGATGGCACAGATGGGGGGCACAGCTGTGGGTGTGGGTGGCAGGCACAGCTATGGAGAGAGCCCCTGTTTGGTGGCCCTAGTGGGCAGGCCCTCTCCATCCCCCTGTGGGTCAGGCCCCCAAGGGCCCCCCACCCCCACCTCTGGTGACAAGCCTCACATTTGGAGACAACGCCCTCCAGGCGGATGATGTTGTGGTGGCTGAACTGGCCCATGATGCTGGCTTCACTGAGGAAGTCCACACGCTGCTTCTCTGTGTAGCCAGCTTTCAGCGTCTTGATGGCCACCGGTACCTCCTTCTTCCCTGATGCCTTCAGCGTCCCCTTGTACACCTCCCCAAACTCTCCTGCAGGCAGGCAAGGTGGGAGGCGCACCCCAGTCAGCCTGGACCGCGTGCTCCCAACCTGTCCCGGGCCCCTCCACAGGTGCGCCAACCTCACCTGCTCCGATCACCTTCTGCCGCGTGACACAGGATGGGTGGATCTCGGTGGTGAACTTGAGCACAGCCTGGTTGGGGTCTTCATATGTGTGTGGGTCCACATATGTCTTCAGGGGCTTCAGTTGTTCTGGAAGGTGGGAGGGGCTGAGTCAGACAGGTCAGGGAGGGTCCCTGGGGAGGGCTGCCCGAAAGCTGGAAGCGGAGGCTACCTGACCAGGGGCCAGGAGACTGGGCGAGGCCATAGGACATGGAGCTTCTGGCTCTGCCCCTCTGAGCTGCCCTGGGACCTCCTGGGCGTGCCCTGGCTGCTGGCTGCCCCATCGCTACTGCAGAGCTAAGGAGGCCTGTGGGGACAGCAGGATGGGCACAGAGGGGCTGCCTCTCACCTGACTTGGAGAAGTAAACATCCTCCGAGGACTGGCGGGTCCGCAGGCTCTTCCTCCTGAGAACCCCACAGGAACCCAACACAGGGAGGTCAGCGGCCTGCTCTGGCCAGGAGGAGTGGGGACTGAGTGTGCTCAGCACCCTGCTGGGCTGGCAGAGGGCGCAGGGAAGGCTCGGGCGGGGCAGACAGGAAGTGGCCAGTGGGCTCACTCCTTGGACCTGTGCCCCGTCATGGCCAAAGTGAGGGCTTTCCTCATTAGCACTCCCCGGTGCTTCCTGCCCGCGTGCCCAGAGGAAGCATGGACACACCATTAACAACAGCAGCAAAGATAACGCCCGCCCTGTCCCGAGCCCCCACGGTGAGCCGGGCACTCTGCTGAGCGCTGTAGCTCGTGTCTTCACACCCCCGAGGCCAGGAGCAGATCACTATCAGTCCATTTTCCAGACAGGAAGCTGAGGTTCCCGCCCCTCTGTGTCCCACTGAAGCCTTACGAACCTTCGGTGGAGGAACAAGCCGATTCCTGCCAGCACCAGAAGCAAGACAATGCCGAAGGCCACTCCGCCGATCACCGCCAGGTTGGCAGATCCTTCTGTGGCTGTCAGAGGAGACCAACTGATGACAAGGGAGCTCCGCCGCTCCACACCCACCTTTGCACCCCAAGGCCCACTGTAGGCCCACTGTAGGGACCCAAGACACGTGCTGGGTGTTTTTACTTGTGATGGTTCATAAGGATCTTTATTCCCATTTCACAGAGGGGCAATATGAGGCCTTCCCCGGGGAATACAGGATTCGAACTGGGTCTGCCAATGCCAGAGCTCATGTCCTTGCTTCTCACAACACTGCCCTGAACAAATGTCCCTGGGTCCCCTCCCCAGGCTGTCAACCCACACAGGCCTGTCCTAGAATCAGGCTGACCAGGAGGGAGGATTTCTAAGGATTTTTTTTTTAATCCTCACCTGCGGGCATTTTTCTATTTTTTTGTTCAGATTGAGTGGGAGGAAGAGAGAGAGAGACATCGACGTGAAAGGGACACATCGAGTGGCTGCCACCCGCACGACCAACCAGTGCCGGGGACAAACTGCAACCGAGGTACGTGCCCTTAGCGGGAACCGAACCCAGGTCTCTCTGGACCGCAGGCCGACGCTCTACCTGCTGAGCCATATCAGCCAGGGCTCTAAAGTTTTGTTTTTTTATTCATTTTCTCCTCTCAGGATGTCCTAGTTGCTCCATTGCAGGGCCCTGGTCTGGCTCACACCCTGGTCCCCAACTCACATAGCGTCTGGAACTCGTGCACCTTGCTGCCGGCGCCCTGGCCCTCCTGTGTCAGCGCCTGCACTTGGACCAGGTAGGTCGTGTCCGGAGCCAGGTCGTCCAGGGTCACGGAGAAGCCCTCAGTGCGGCGTACGTTGTAGCTGTTGGAGTCCCCCTGCGGACGGCCAGCAGGGGCATCAGCTCAGCCACCAGAGACGATCCCAGCTTAACTCATGTTAGCACACTCCACGCTCTCCTTACGGAGGAGGGAACTGGGGCTCAGAGAAGTCAAGCGGCTCGCTCAAGGTCACAGCCGGCAAATGCATGACTCAGGACTCAAACCCAAGCCTGCCTGATCCCCAAGACCTGGCTTTCCCCCCACCCCCAACTATCTCATCTGGGAATTCCAGAACATTGTGTCTTCTCTCCCACAAATCTCTGCACAGCTGGCCTGGAGAGGTGACTCAGGAAGAGCCAGACCTCAGTTTCCCCATCTGCAGAATGGAGCGTCTTCAGATGGCTGTGTCACGCAGCGAGTGTCTGCGAGCAGCTGGGGCCAGCCCGGACCCTCTGAGTTACCTTCTTGCGGTAGGTGACCTCGTACTTCCACACGCGGCTCTGCTGTGGCAGGGGGATGCTCCAGGACACGCTCAGCGAGGTGGTGCCACGGCCCTCCAGCTTCACCTTGGGGGGCTCTGGGCAGAGTAGTGGGTGGGGGAGGGGTGATGAGATACGAGGGGTGAGGGCAAGTGCTCCTGGACCCAGACCCATCCACAGCCCAGGCTCCCTAGACCCCCACTTGGGATTCCCAACTTCCAGCTCCAGGTCCCACCACGGCTGGCACAGCAGAGGTGCCCTGAGAGCATTTATGAGTGCCTGCTGTATAAAAATAAAGCAACAGCCGACTCCTGCTACAGCCTATGGACCAGGCACTGTTCTAGGAGCCTCGCATAGAAAAATTTATTAAACCCTCTCAACAGCCCTGCAACCCCATTGTACAGGTGAGGAAACTGAGGCTCAGGAAGGTTAGGTAACTTGCCCACAGTCACAGAGCTGGGAAGTGACTCCGGAGACTGTGCTTTTAACTACTTGCTGCTGTCTCTCTCTGAACACAGCCGAGCCCTGAGTCTGTCCTCGGGAAGCCCCCCGGGTGACAGCCACCACCACCAGGCCCTCACCTGTCTGGTTGATGCTGACGCTGGCAGTGCGGAAGCTGCGGGTGGCCACCAGCTCCGAGACACCGTTGCGGGCCTCTACGGCAAAGGTGTAGTTCATGTGGGGCTCCAGGTCACTGACTGTCACGCTGGTGCGGGTCAGCATGTGCGGTGACTCGGAGTAGCGCACGCTGGCCTCGCAGGGCCGGCACTCGCCTGACTCGGGCAGACACTGTTCGCAGGTGACCTTATAGGTGATGTCCTGGCGACCCCCGTTGTCCAGGGGTGGCATCCAGCGCAGCTCCACTTTGGCACCCATGCCCACAGCCGTGAGGTAGTTTGGGGGAGAGGGCGGGCCTGCACAGAAGGCAGAGGCCAGAGCTCGAACCCAGGGAGCCCTGGACCACGCCCACCTCCGTCAACCCCCTGACCCGCTGCAAACTCACCTGTGCAGGGCACTGACAGCAGGTCCTGCGGTGCCCGGAAGTAGCCTTCCTCACACTCACAGTACGTGGCCCCCTCCGGGGAGAGCAGGGTGTGTGCAGGGCACTCCAAACAGGAGCTCTCGGAGGCCTCAGACTTGAAGAATCCAGGCGAGCAAGCTGGTGGGCACAGGAACAGACCTCGATCAGTTCACCCAGTTCCCACGCAAGCAACTTTTCCACTCCCTGGCCGTGGGACCCCAGGCCAGTCACTAAACCGCTATGGGCCCGTTTTCTCATCACTGAAATGTGATGAGAAAATGAATGGAGAGCGCCTACATCCCGCTGGACACTCAGGAAACAGCTCATCCGCGTGCTCCGAACCTGTGCCTCGCCCCCACTGGCTCTGCGGGGAGCGCCGTGCCCCTGCGCCGGGCATTCAGGCCCACATCTCACACCTGGCTCGGCCCTGGACCGAGCAGCTCTATCTCCGTTAATCTGTGCAAACCAGCCTGGCGGGTCCCCACCTGGACTTCGGGCTGCCCAGGGCAGTAACGGTGTCTTCTGCGCTGTTGGTTTTGGTGACTATCACCACCAGCTCGAACGACGGGCCGGCTCACCAGCTCAGGACGCCACCCCCGCAGGTGCTCTCCCCACTCCAGGACCGACCATCTTTCCGTTCCGGGGCTGGCCGCCCAGAAAGCAGGAAAGGCCAGGCCCCCGGCACTTGCTCTGGGTCTGTTTCCAGACCGAGTCATTTCCGCCACTCACAAAGGCAGCCAGGAAGCCGCTCTTCCTCCCCCGATTGCTAGGTCCTGTCCTGGCCAGGCGGCTGAGGGCTCAGGCACCTGACTCCAGGGGCTCCTTCCGCCCACTGCCCTATCCTGCCCTGGTCCCAAGCCGCTGCCTGGCCCCACAGGCAGGAAGCTGCCCAGACGCAAGGCCCACTGTGTAGGGCTTGAAGTGGCCAGGGTGGAGTGGGGTCCCCCTGGGGACAATGACCAATACCCTCCTTCAGCTTAATCTGTGGAGAGGGTCCTGAGACACTTCCGACCTCAGCGCCTGGCTCATCAAACGCTCACTGACCTGCTACTGTGCTCGGCCCCGTGCTAGGCACAGACCCTGAGGTGACGCAAAACCCCGGACACAGGAGCATGCGACAGTGTCTAACATAAAGGAGTGTGCAAAGGGCTAAGGGGGTGGAAACAACCTTGGCCTGAGGTCTGAGGAGTCACAGAAGAGATATTTCAGCTGGGGCTTAGAGGCTGAGTAGGAGTTCAGCGGAGCAGAAATACTGGGAGGAGTTGGGGGTGAGAAACAGCAAGACTAACAGAAAGTATGAATGGCTTTGTGGGCACAAGTGGGGGGAGCAGCAGGCAGTCGAGGCTGAGGGTCTCCAGGAGGCAGAATGAGAAAGGCCGTCGGTGCCAGGTTGAGGAGCTGGGACTGTATCCTGGGAGCAACAGGAGCCACTGAAGGTTTGATGTAGAGAACATAGCAGTCGGGTCTACACTGTTAAGAAAAGTCTTGGACAAAGTCTCCCTCCTGTCCAGTCCCCTGTGAGCAGAGGTAGGAGGGGGACTGGGAGTTAGGGACAAGACTCAGAGAACACCCAGTTCCTTACAGTTTGAATAATGACTTCCTTTAATGACTCTTCTTGCAGGGGGACCTGGGGACCATCCCAGCAGCCTCTGTCACCCCCTCCTCGTGTCCTGCCATATCCTGTCATGTCAGAACCTCAACATAGGCCCCAAAAGAGCTTGAGCACACACTGTAGGAAAGGGAGCTTGTCCAGGACAGAGGGGGCCTGGGACCTCACTCCTGCCCTGTGCAGAGTCTGGGGCCCCAAGAACAAACCCTGGCCATTATTTAAACAACTTTTTTTTTTTTTTTTTTTAAGAGAGGAGAGGGGGGGAGAGAGAGAGAGAGAGAAACACTGATGTGTGAGAGAAACAACAATCAGCTGCCTCCTGCAGGCCCCCCACTGGGGATCGAGCCGGCGGGCATGTGCCCTGACTGGGAATCAAGCCGGGACCTCTCATCCACTGAGCCACACCTGCCGGGTGAAACACTGACCGCTATTAAACAACCACCGTGTGCAGCTCCTGGCTCAAGCAGGTGACATTCATCTAGTCCTCACACTAAGCCTGTGACACTGTGACCACCCATCCCTCTTTGGAGGTGGGGAAACGGATGTGCAAAGAGGCAAAAAGACTTGTCCAAGGTCAGCGAGCCCTTAAGACACAAAACCTAAACGGAAACCCAGGACACTTGAGGTTGAGTCCCTCTCCTTTCGCATGAGCTTGTCAATTCAGAGCTAAGAGGAGCGATATACTGGAACAAGCCCAACGGGAGAGGATGGAGCCTGACCTGCTTCTAGAGCCAGAAAATCCCAAGACTGATTCCAAAGCAGGAGAAGGGCGGGGGGAGCTCCTAACAGACGTGTTCCCACACTGGGCACATGTATGTCCTATGGGAAGAGAAGGGTGGAATTAAACACGGCGGGGGGGGGGGTTTGGGGGGGCAAAGTGGCCTCTTTCAATCCCCAAAATCTCCAACTGCGTTTAAGAAATCCATGTGTGTTACGCACGGGTCCTCTTGTCTCGCAATACAATCCTGGCTCCCTCCTCTCCCACATCTTCAAGTGAAAATGAGAGTCCAGAGACTGGGCCTTGTTTACCCTGGGATTTCAGTTCCCAAAGATGCTCTGACTTGTCGGCCAGGGGCCACACCTGGGTGAGCGCTGGCTGCAGGAAGTTTGGTCCCAGCAGAGTTGGGGTGCTCAAGGGCCTATCGAATCACAATCGCACCCTTCCAGTCCAGGCTCTCAGGCTGGGGAGGGGGCCATGAACCCCCACCACTTGGGCTTGGTCCTGCTAAAGGCTTTAGCCACCTGCAAACCTCCACATCGCCCCCACTCCAGAGCCACGTGGCTGCTCCCCAGCCCCCCAGCCCCCCAGCCCCATGGCACCAGGAGGAAGAGGGGGAAGAGTCGGGTTCCATTCTTTGGCCCCAGAGCCTGGGGGTGGCCCGCCTGCTGCTGGCAGGAAAGGGAATTTGGAGAGATTTCCTCTGCGGATGTACCAGATAATACAGTGAAGAGGCAGCATCAGCAGGGCATGTGCTGGCCTGATGAGAATGTGCTGCCCCTCCTCCAACACAGAACTCCAAGGGGCTGTCCCCGGGGCCACACCAGAGTGTGCCAGTGCTCAGGGGCCTCAGAGGTCATGTGTAGGACACCAGCAAGCTCCGGTGGCTTCCTGACTTTCCTGATTGGATTTCCTGGCATTCTGGGCAGGCAAGTGGGGACAGGGGTCACACACACTCAAACACGGTCACATACACAAAATGCTCACTGTCCCTTCGCCAACCAGCAAACTCTTATGCATCCTTCAATACCCAGCTTGGGTATTATAGAGCTCCTCCACACAGCCTCCCAGGCTGCCCAATTTATGGCTCCCTTCTGCCCCATTAGGGCATCTATTACTCAATCTTATATGTACCAGATAGAAATTGAGCACTTCCTACGTGTCTGGCATATGCTGAGGGCTGGGATACGAAGGTGAGATAGAAACACAGCATTACTGCTCCAGGGGAATCCACAGCCTGGCTTTAGTGCTCCATCTGAAATTAGTTCTGCACCTATTAGGAGCCTCTATGAGACTGGCAGCCCCTGGAGAGCAGGAACGGAGTCTGACCTATCTGTGCCCGACGGCCCAGCACAGGGTCTTGCACGCAGCGGGTGCTCAGCCAGTATCTGCAGACTGGGTGGACGGAAGAAAGAAAGAAAGAAAGAAAGAAAGAAAGAAAGAAAGAAAGAAAGAAAGAAAGAAAGAGAGAGAGAGAGAGGAGGGAGGGACGGAGGGAGGGAGGGAGGGAGGGAGGAAGGAAGGAAGGAAGGAGAGGGAGGGAGGGAGGGAGGGAGGGAGGGAGGGAGGGAGGGAGGAAGGAAGGAAAGGAGAGGGGAGGGGAGGGAGGTAGGGAGTGGAGGGGAGGGAGGGAGGGAGTGGAGGAAGAAGGAGAAGAAAGAAAAAAGAAAGAAAAGAAAGAAAGAAAGAAAGAAGAGAAAAGGGAGGGAGAGGGAGGAGAGGAAGTGGAGGAGGGAGGAAGGAGGAAGGGAAGGAAGGAAGGAAGGAGGAAGGAAGGAAGGAAGGAGAAGGAAGGAGGGAGGGAGGGAGGGAGGGAGGAAGGAAGGAAAGAAGGAAAGAAAGAAAGAAAGAAAGAAAGAACGAAGAGAAAGAAAGAAAGAGAGGAGGGAGGGAGGGAGGGAGGGAAGAAGGAAGGAAGGAAGGAAGGAAGGAAGGAAGGAAGGAAGGAAGGGGAGGGAGGAGGGAGGGAGGGAGGAAGGAAGGAGGAAGAAGGAAGGAAGGAAGGAGAAGGAAGGAAGGAGGGAGAGGAGAGGGAAGGGGAGGGAGGAGGAGGGAGGGAGGAAGGAAGGAAGGAAGGAAGGAAGGAAGGAAGGAAGGAAGGAGGAGAGGGAGGGAGGGAGGGAGGGAGGGAGGGAGGAGAGAGGAAGGAAGGAAGGAAGGAAGGAAAGAAGGAAGGAAGGAAGGAAGGAAGGAAGGAAGGAAGGAAGGAAGGAAGGAAGGAAGGAAGGCACATTGAACACGTGCTCTGGGACCAGAGAAGTGAGAAGTGCCCAGGGCGTCCCTGTGGAAGTGGCGCACACCTGGCTTTCGCACACCTGTGGAGATCTCTGGCCCCAGTCACCTGGCAGGCCTGGACCACTCTGAGCAGGGGAACTGGGGCACGGTGGCTGCACCCTGGGCTGTACCCCTGTTTTTCCAGTTCCCAGTGCCCGCCCCTCAGGTGGCAGCGTGGGGTGACTCAAGGACAGACACCCTCTGGTGTGACGCAAGTCCAGCCCCTGGCAGAGCTCCTACCCCCAGGCCCAACCACCTCTCAGGTCAGTGCTGGGGAGGTTAGAGGGTCAGGAGGTCACAGTAGCAATTCACCTGGGGCCAGTCACCTCCCCAAGCAGTGCCCAGCTGGTGTGTACCACCTCAGCCCCAGGATGCAAAGTGCGGACTTTGTCTCATGTCCTGACAGGCAGCAATGGCAACCCATAAGTGACTGACCCAGCAAATGAGGAGAACTGATCATTCCGGGCCCTGGGGTTCTCGCTCCCCAGAAGGCCCCGCTGTCCCACGGATGTCCCCATGTGCCTGCTGCCAGCACTTTGCCCCTTTCGCACACGCCCTAGGGAATCATGCAGGGCACATTCTTCCACCAAGCCCGATAAGCAGGGCCCCCACCCCCAGCCTCCCAGCTTCCTGCTCTCTCCACTACCAGGCTTTTATCTTCTATTTGCTTTCCCTCGCCTCCTTCCTTCCGTTCTGGGGACCCACTCACCTCCGGAGCGGGTGGGAGGGGCCTCCCCAAGGAGCTGTCAGCACCTGAATTCCCCCCAGTGGGAGCTGAAGGTGGGGCAGACAGGGCATGGAAGGGGGGTGCCACCCACCGCCCCACCCCTGCGGGCCCGAGGTAACTCCACAGAATTGAGGCCTGGTGGCACTCCCCAGGGAGAGGACGAGCCCAAGAGTCAAGAGCACACAGAGCCCCCAGCCATGTCCTGACAAAGCAGAGCCCCTGCCATGGCCCAGGGCCTCCCTGCCTCAGACCCATCTCGGCCAGAGCCATCTCCTGCCCAGGGGATGCCTCCCCTTCAGCTGTGGACCCTGGACTAGGCTTGGGCCTCTCCGGGTACCAGCGCTAGGACCGCTCCTTGCCACCTGTGGTGAGGTCGCACGGTCAACTGTCTGGCAGAGCAACCCAGGTTCTCAGACTGCGCCACAGCGGAAAGTCACAGGTAGACCCTGATCACTGAGGCCCAGAGGGGACTCACCAAGGTCACCCAGCTGTAGCTAGAAGGACACAGGCCAGGGGTAAGTGGGGACAGTGGACTGCCCTCCTCATTCCAGGCCTCAGCTCATTTGGTCACTGGTAACTGTTTCCATTCCCCGGGCCTCAGTGTCCTCATCCATAAAGTGGGAAGAAAGTCCTCAGCCCCTCTGTGTGTTTGCGAAGAGGGTAAAAAAAACCTTGCTTGTGAAATGCTTAGCATGGTGCCTGGAATGGGCTGTCTCTATGAGCCAGGAATAGAGAAACTAAAGTAGAGAAGAGACATTCCCTAGGTGCTGGGCCCCTTAAGGGAGCAGGAGTCTCCAAGGAGGGAATTCCCTAACCCCCACCACCCCCACCGCCAGCTCTGGCCTCCCAGCTGCTGGGCTGAGCCTCTGGCCAAAGCCGCTGGCCACCTGCTCACCTGGCCGGCAGTCCCCTGGCCGAGGCGCCAGCCGGGGGGCCCGCCGGCTCGGCTGCCAATGCCAGCACAGGAAGCGGGACAAACGGGGAGACAAAGCCGCCCCTGGGGGAGATGACGGTCAGCCTGAGTGACTCCACTGTCCTCCAGGCAGAGGGTGGGGGTGCTGGAGTGGAGCTGGCTCATTCCTGACATAGCTCACGAGAGCTCCCTGGGCAGCGTGCCCACCTGTCCAACACAACACCTGGGAGGTGCCTCCCTTCCGTTGTCCATTTAACTCTTTCCTGAGCTGTGCTTCCTGGGGAAAAACCCGGAGGGGAAACAAACTCTGGGAATAACCTGGACCAAGTACGAGGTGACCTCGGGGTACCCATACCCCTCTCTGGGCAGTTTGTCATCAGTTGAAGCCCAGCTGGGGAAACCCAGGTCTATAGCCCTGTGGAGGGTCAGGCGGACCCTGCACCTCCCTCACTTTCTCCCTCCACATGCTCAGTAACCGCCCCACCCCCAGCCACCCCCTCCTGTACCAGGACCTGCCATCCTGGGGCTGCCCTGAGAGCTCGTCCCAAGGCCAAGAGCTGAGTCAGGGATTCCAGAGGAACTGGTCATTTCCCGCCCCACTTCCTGACCCATCCTCTAGCCTGGACGCCACTGCGTCGCCTGGAATCAAACCCTGATGCGGCCACATCAGAGCTGTGTGTCTCCAAGCCAGTCTCAGCCTCTCTGAGCCTCGGATCCCTGTCTGTTACATGGGATCACAGAAAGGTGGTTCGGACTCAAGAGCGCCCAGATCAAGTGCTTGCCTGGCTCGTGCCTGCCCTTGGAGGGCGCTGTCTGTGGAACTTACTGTCACTCTCCGTCAGAGGCTGCTGGGGAAAGTCTGCAGGGATACAGAGAAACCGGCTGGAGGTTCCCAGCCACACAGAGGGTCCTTGAGGCACACTGAAGGGAAGTTTGGTAGAGGGATCCCAAGGAGGAGGAAGCAGGGCGACAGGTGGCTGGCAGTTGAGAGGGTCCCACCAGTGAGGTCAAAGATTTCCCTCTTGAAAACCAGTCCTCCCTGCCCAGGGCTTGCTGGCTCCTCACAAACAAACCCTGCTAGAATCCTGACCCCCACCTCCGGGGAGGGGAAGGCTGTCCCCCTTGCTGGCGAGATGCCCCCCCCCAACCCCAACTGGCCACTTATCTCTACAGGGCCTGAATCACCAGCCGGTGGAAAGTTTTCAGCTGCCCCTCACCCCCACCCCCGCATTCTTATGTGAGGATGTCATGTGGGCGGAGTCTGCTCAACCCACTGGGGCTGCCTCAGCCCCCCCACCCCCCATCCCCTAGTCATTGTCTGAAACTGGGAGCGTGCACTTGAGGTCACCTAAATCAGGGGCTGCCTCACTCTAAAGGGGAGCCGGGAGGACAATGGGGTGGTTAGAATGGCCAGAACAGAGACGACACCACAGGCTTAGGGCTGGCAAGATTCTTAGGGAGCTTCTCATCCAAGGGTTTGCAGACTGTGTTAAGCAAGGTTCTGAGGATTTGTTTTAGGAGGCAAATGGGGCCTATCAGCAAGGGCTTTGGACTCCTCCAACACTTCAACCCACTTCATAGGTTGTAGGATCCATGGCTAAAAGCCAAGCATAAAGTCAGCTGTTACCCTTGAACTTCGCATTTTATTGACAGGAAACCTGAGACCAGAGATGAAGAGAGATTTACCTAAAGTCACCCAGTGGGTATGTGCAACTGAACCCCCAATTTCTCAACACCCCGCTCATCTCAGCAAAGAAGCTCCCAGAGGAGGAAGAGGATGAGCTGGCCTTCCAAAGGTCGGCCTGCATTCCACAAATGCCCTGCCCCACAGCCGTTTCCAGAAAAAAATCACCCGTTGAAAAAAGTCCATGTCGCTGTAGAGATTTCCGCTGTCACAGGCCCTGGACAGGCCCTGGACGTGCCAAGCCACAACCTCCCAACGTGAACTCACTAATGCCCGGGCCCTGTTCCCAGAGAGAGTCTGATGTAATTGCCCCCTCTCTGGGTTTGATTTGTCATCAGTAGAAGCCCCTATGAAACAGTCTGGGTTTATGGCCCTGGGGACGGTCAGGTGGGGGCAGGGGCAGACCCTATGTCCCCTTCCACCTTTCCCCCCAACACAGGCATATTTTAATAGCTCTCCAGATAATTCTCCTGTGAAGCCAGGGGATGTGAATACTGGGTCCAATTCACTTACCTCCATGTACAAAAAAGGAGCTCAAGACCCAGAGAGGGTAAGCAACTTGCCCAAGGTCCCACAGTGAGTTAACAGAGATGGAACTAGCCCCTGGGACTCTACCAGGCGTCCCCAGTGCTGGTATATTGTAGGAGATACTCAAGCTATTCTTGTAGGATGGATCAAAAATAACAACCACTTAAAAGCACTTATGTGTCAGACACTGACCTAATCACTTTATGAGCATTAAGTCATTTAATTATCATAACAACTCGACAAGATGAGCACTATGTTCATCTCCATTTTACAGATGAGAAAACCCAGGCACAGAGAGGTTAAGAGTCCTAGCGTCTCACTGGTAACCTCCACACTAGACTCCATTCATTCATTCTCAGTGAATGAGTGAATCCAGTCTGCAATCAAAAGCCCTAAGTCCAGGAAGGCTTTGTGATTTCCACTAAGAGAACCAATGCATGTCAGAGCAGCGAGGACCTTACCAAGATCTCACAGTCCCAGAACTGAGAGTAGGGCCTGGGAACACAGCCTCCACCCCAGCACCCCCTTTCCCTGCCACCCCTGCACCCTCACTCACCCTGGCAGGCGTCTTCCACCTTCTCGTAACCCGCCTGGCACAGGCACTGACCGATGGGCACCAACCACTCGCCGTCGACTGTGCAATGCATGCGGGGCTCTTCGCCCCCAGGGGGGACCATGGCATGGTCCACACAGGTACCAGCCACAGTGGCCAGGGAGGGTGCTTCAGAGCCTGCGATGGTCTCGGGAAAGCGAGCCAGGCCCTGCAGCAGCTCGGGGCACTTCTTGTAGTAGACGCGAACAGAGAGCAGTGCTACGCAGGCCCCAATGTCCTGAAAGGCCAGGTAGAAACCCTTCTGGGAGAGCGGCCCCACGGAGCGCTCCTCCACATTCAGCTTTACGTTGCGCGCCTCGAAGTCGCTGCTGACGGTGATCTCATCGGGGGCAATGGTGTCGATCTTGTGGAACTGGCGTTTTTGGAAGTTGGTGCCATAGTCCACATCCGATTCCGCGTAGTAGAGGTTGAAGGTCTCTTTGCAGGAGCTGGCGCCCCCGGGGAAGCTGTTGCAGTCGCGCACCGTGAACTTGAGCTCGATGAAGATGCGCTTGGCCTCGCCGCGGTACACCCAGTTGGTACGGAGCCAGTTGTCCTGGTCGCCAGCCACCACGTTGCACACGGAGTACATATAGATGGGTGTATTGTCCATGATGTTCTGCATCAGGTCCCACTGTGTGGGGCCAACAGGTTAGTGTGGGCAGGACCCCGCGGGGGGAAACTGAGGCTCAGAGGCAATGCCCAGGTGGCAGAGCTGGGCATTAGGGAGACACCTTTCAGTTATTGCTGTCCCCATTCTACAGGGAGGGAAACTGAGGTCCAGAGGTGCTTTGTGTCACCTCACACACTAGAAGTACTAAGCAGGGAGTTGGCCTCTGCTGTTTCTGATCCCAGTGTCAGGGTGCTGAATCTCTGTATTAGACTGTGAGCTGGGGGTGGAGACTGGGGGCTCCGTGTGACCTCAGGTGAGCACTGAGACTCTCCGAGTATACGGGGGACAAGATCTAGCTCACAGAATTGCTGTGAGGATAAATGACAGACTGTCTACAAAATGCTGGGCACATTGCCTGGCAGGGTGAGGTGAAACGGTTGTCGTACAAGCAGCTGGTGTCATCATCACCATCATCATCGTTATCATTACTCACTGTGTGTGTGCGGAGCCGAGTGTGAGCAGCAGGGGAAGAGGCTAAGTCAGAAACAATGGGTGATTCCCCATCATTTAGATTTTGGCTTTGGGACAGATGAAAACATCTTCTTCCCTCCTCAGAACATGGCTCAGCCTCCTCCAGGAAGACTTCCCAGGTTGGGCCAGGTGCCCCTCTCTAGCTCCCAGTCTCATGTCCCCTTTGTCCAAGTACTTGGCACCTATGTAGTAACACCTACATCTGGCTTCCACACTAGATGCTGAGCTCTTTGGGGTAGGGACTGCATCTAATTCAATTCTGTACGCACAGGGCCTACCTGGAACAGAGTAGGTACTCAGGAAAGTATTTGTTGAATGAATGAGCAAATGAATGAATGCATGCATGCATGCAGAGGGGCCAAGAAAAGAAGCTCGGGCCACACTGTGTCACAAAAGCCAAGGTCTCAAATGCCCTTGGGCCTCAGTTTCCCACTCTGTATAATGACTGGGTTAGAGTAAATGATCTGAGATCCCTCCCAGCTGGACATTCCAGGATCCTGGAAATCCACTAGAGCTACACCCCAGGCCTCCTCAGAGCTAAGGTGCCCAGAAACAAGCACCTCACACACAGATCTGACCAGCAGTGGGAACTGTCCCAGCTAGCCCCCTAGAGACACACTTCTCCGAGGCTCAGGGCCCCAGGACAAACTCAGCAAGGGCCCATTGTACAGAGGGGCAAACTGAGGCCCAGAACAGCAAATATCTTCCTTAAGACTACGTGGTAGTGACGCACAAACAGAAAGGACCCCAGCGTCTTGCCCTCTCGTCCTGGTCATAAGAGGCCAGGGCAGAGAGGAGCCCAGCAAGAAGGAACCTGATCCTTTTCCTGGGCTGGGGGCTGCGGGCACCTGGGAGCCCCTGTTCCCTGTCTCTCCCTCACCCCTCACCTACTGGACTGGGACCTGGAAGACAGGGGGAGCTTTTAGCTCCGTCCCTCCCAAGATGGTCCCCCTGGCCATCAGCCCTCAGTGGCATCCAAGCCCAGGGTGGCGGCCACCACCCCTCCCATTCCTAGGCTACAGGGAACTCCCAAGGATCCCTGCTCTGCCAGGCATTCAGCTGTCTCCCATCTCTTTCCACCTCTCAGGTCCCTTCCCTACCACCTTCTAACCCCTAGCCCGCCCCGGGATGGCTAACTCTAGGCCTGGAGTAAGAAGCAGGACACTAAGTATGAACTCTGGCTGAGCTGTTTAATCTAGACTGGCCCCAACCTCCCTGGGTTTCAGCGTCCCCATTCCCACGCCCCTGCCCGACCTGAAGGCTTACCCCTTTGCCATATGGGTGTGTGAGCCAGCCGAGTTCCCCGTTAGCTGCAGCGAAGTCCAACAGTACAACTGGAAGAGACAGGAGAGGGGGCCGGTAAGCTTGGGGGTATCTCCAGGGCTCAAGCCATGGCAGGAAAGGTGAGTCCTCCATGAGCCCCATGAGTCTTTGTGGGCTTCCTCAGCCCCTGGAGAGACCCCATTATACAGGGTCACCATCTCCAAGAGACCCATCCCCCAACAAGTAGGGAAACAGAAGCCCTGTGAAGGGATGGGACCCAGTCAAAGCCACACAGCAGGTTGGGTGAGGACTAAGCCTCCTGTCTCCCAGGCCACAACTCCAGCCACACCACCCTCTCAGCCAGCCTCCAGCTGGGCAGAGTAGGACAGAGCTCAGCCCAGCGGGGGGACAGCAGCTGGGCAGAGAGCTGGGGCTGGCCCGGCTGGGCTGTTAAGTGACACCATGCTGCCCTGTCTGCTTCCTGAAACCCTGGGCAGCACCTCACACGCACGCACGTGGGCCTTGGGAGCTCTCGTGTCAAGTCCTCTCCACCCCCCCAGCACCAAACATCCTCAACCCCCCCCAGTCACGTAGCACACATATATGCTCACACATATGTACACATGTCTTGTGGCACTCCAGGGAGAAGGGAACAGGTGGGAACGGCTCCAGGGACTAGAGGGGGAACTGGTGGGGGTGTCTGCAAACTGATCTTCCCACCACAAAAGCCACAGAGCAGGCAGGATAAAGCCCTGAACCCAAGGGGCCTCTGGAGGGGCCCAAAGGTACACACAGTTGGTGAGGTCCCCTCCTTGGGAAAGTTGCTCCTGTGGCCGTGTCCCTCATCCCCTGGCTACTGCGCTGCCAGAGGCGCCTGCTGGACCAGGGACGGCAACCCTTAGAGGGGACTTCAGGCTCAGAGGGACCAGGCTCTAGGACCATGCTGTCCCCAGAGAGGCATCTGGAGCCCGAGGGAGGGACTCATTGGCAGGGTCTTCCCTAGATCTAGCCCTGCCCTTGGGGAGCTCCTATCCATCCATCTTGGCTCTCTGCCAGGCTCAGCCACAGAAGCCAAGACCCAAGACCCTGGGCACTGCACCTCCTCCATTTCCAAGTAAAACCCAGGTAGCTACCAACAGGTGCCACCCACCCTGGAGGGCAAGGAGATTGGGGAAACTGAGGCATGGAACCTAAACGAAGTCCACAAATTCAGAGGGTAAGGGGGCAAGGACCCCCCTTCCTTTGGAGCCTGGAGCATGAGGAATATGGCCTCAAGATGCAGCATTCCTCGGGGCCAGGACCTGGGAGAAGGACTCCAAGGGGAACTCCAGACAGGCAGGGGACAGAGAGGGGCCTGATTTAGAGATGGGGGCTGGAGTGGGTCAAGCGAGGGACCCGATAAGAGTCCTAGAAAACCTTCTCTGAGGTTAGACTGCCCGGCTCCCCTGAACATGAATCCTGGGTGTGAGGCACTGCTGTCTGACCGCTGCCCAGGGCCACCGCTCCAGGAAGGGCCCGGGAGCCTGGATGAGAGAGGAAAGATGATGTGGCACCTGCCCCAGGACAGTGAGGGTAAGGGACAGGGGCTGGAGGGTGGACGGGGCAGGGACTTGTTCAGACATGCCCAGGGCCCCAGCGTGGAAAATTCACTAACTCCTCTGGCAGATGGAATGTTCTGGCTACACGGGAAGAAATCAAGGTTCTTAGCTCCAGCGGGGTGGGTCAGGAAACGGTGAGTGTGCCTCGCAGTCCTGCACACCCGCCTCCCCACACAGGTAGGAGGCGGCAGTCCGTGCCCAAGGGAGGAGGCAGGCTTTCCAGGCTCTGAAGGGTTCATCTGACACCGAGGGACCCCGACCGCGCCTGCCAGAGCATGGCTCCCCTTTCAACCCGCAGGCCTGGCTCTGGGAGTATCACAGGGCTCAACCTGAGAAGGAAAAAAAGCCTTCGTACAGGAAGGAGTCCCCTCCCGGGAAATTCCCTAGAACCGATCACCAGAAACAGGAGCCCGGGCCCGGCTGTCCCTCCGCCCTGATTCAGAGCTGCTCCTCCAGGGACTGAGGCACCTGCTTCCCTGAAAGGGGTGGGGACCTGGGAGCCCCTCCGCTGCCCCCAAAGGCTGAGAGGCCTGGGCCAGGCAGGGCTCATCCAAGAGCCCCACTCCACCCCAGGAAAGCCTCCTTCTCTGCCGTAAGTTCCACCATCAATGTCACCCTCGCTCCCACTTCCCTGTCACCTCCCTGCCCCCCCCCCATTCCTCTGTAACCAAGACTGGTTAATGGGGGAGGCAAGAGACTCTGGAGGAAAAAATGAAGAGAAAAGGAAAGGAGACAAAGCTGCAAACTGGGCTTTTAGAGAATCAAGAAGCCAAGGACTTTGCAGGCCTCCTGAACACGCTCCAGGCCTTTTCCCATCAGCCACCTCAAGCCAGCAACCCCCGTACCCCTGCCCAGTTATTCCTGCTTCTCAGGAAAATCCACCATGAAACCACAAGGCAAGGGGCCCTGGGGTCTGGCAGCCCAGGGAGCCAGATGCTCAGCTCTGACCCTTGCTGTGCAGAAGGCCCAGGCTGCTGAGGGCTTGGGCTTTCCTCGGTTTCCCCTTTTGTAAAGATTCCGTGTCTGTTGAGAGTCTAACAAGCTCCATTTGAGTCTCTAAATACAGCCTGGCTCCTCTACCCACGGGGGGGAGGGGAAGAAGAATGGAACAGCAGCAGCCTGGGCTAAGGGTGAAATGGACATGTGTGTCCTCCTCTCCCACCGCTAGGCAGATCCACCACATCCAGCCTGAATCCCAAAGAACTTAGCAAACTAGCAGCTGCCATCTGGGCCATCACCACCACTGCCACAGACACACACACACACAGGCACATCTTCCTAAGGGAGTCGTTCAAAGGGTCTCCTGTAGCCTATGTATAAATATTCCGCCATCCCAGAACTCTGCAATACACACCCTTTTCCTCCCCTACCCCATGGAAGTGGGGGGCTAGTCACCTAGGCTGGGGAGGGCTCAACAAGGGAACACAGGGACAAGGCAGCTCCAGCCTTCCAGGCTGCTGGAGGGGCTGCAGGATAACAATCACCCAGCAGCGTCAGTCCAGCCTAATCCCCAGCCCCCACGGGCAGCCTTTGAAAAAGGCTGCAGTGATTCCAGCTGTCTCTCCCCTTCTCTCCAACCACAGTCCCCAAGGAAGGGGGAGGACCAAAAGCTGAGGGGGTGGGGGTACTGAGGGTCACAGAAATCCCTGCCACCCATTCCTCCTGCAAGTTGGGACCAGGAGCCTTGACTGACTCGGAGACTGGGATGGAAGGCCACCCCACCCCTCCACCCCCAAGAGCTCCAGCTCTGGCTTTTCCCAACATCGAAGAGCAAAGCCTCCAAACTCGGTTTGGGAGGCGGAAAAAGAAGGCCAGGCGCGAGGAAACTTCTCACTGGGCCAGGGTTTCCTCTGCACTTCCCCCTGGCGGAGCCTGCGGAAGCCTCTCTGCCCAGGCGAGCCCGGAAAACTTGTTCTCATGATTGGTAACTGAAGCGGGCCTTTGCTGGGTGGACAGGAAGGCCCTTGGCCATGGGCAGGAGCCCTCATCCTCTCCTCGACCCTAACTGAGGAGCAACGCCCCCCAACCACGTACCCGCCAGCCCAGGGCAAAATCTATGGGCCCCTCAGCCAATGCGGCTCAGGGAGCGGTGGGGCGGGGGGGTGGATGATTTAGTCCCCAGCCTCGGGTCCCCGGACTCCCTGGTGGCCCTGGGGTGATGGCTCCACACCTCGAGAGCCGCGCCCCCACCTGCCGCATTTCCTCGTTCTGAGTCACCCCTTGCTCGAACACTTGACTTTGGAACTTCCTGTCCGCACTCGGGGCTGCGAACCTGCACCCCGAGCCAGGGAGTGCGGGGTGGGAAAGAAGAAAGATGACGTGTGGCAGACGGACCCGAAACTCCCCTCATGCTCTCTTCCCGGGCTGGAGGCAAAAGGGGGTGCGGAGAAAATCTCAGGAAGCAGGGACTTCCGTAGTGTGCTCCCCGCCTGCCCAAGAGCCCCCTCCCCAAAATGAGGGGCCTCTATAGAAATGCTTTCTCCGCAAAATCGGAGCGAATGGGTCAGTGAATTCAGGTCACCAAGATGCTAACTCCGCTCGCGGAAAGCCGTCCAGACATACCATTCTCCAAGGGACCCCCGCGCCCCCGCCAGGACGCGTTCCTGAAGCCGCCACCAGGGCTGCAACCGCGTGGCCGGGTCGCGTTCCCTTCTCGGAGGTCTCCGAGCCCCGCGTTCCCGGGCCGCTACCCTTTAGACCCCGCAGCCGCTAAAACTCCGGGTGGGGGGTGGGGGTCCTAGATTCGCCCCAATCGCAGCCCGCGCGCCCTCCCAGCCCCGGTGCTCCGGGACTGGGCGGCGCCAGGTTGGTCTCCGAAGTTGAGCGCAGCGAGGCGCGCGGGGCTCCGGGAGGCGCCGAGGTCCGGGAATCCGGCTGCTCGGAGCCGGGGCGCCCGCCGCGCACACTCACCTTCCTTGCCCTGCGCCGTGGCGGCGCCCAGCAGGCAGCCCCACAGTAGGGCGAAGAAGACACGGGGCGCCTGACGCTCCATGCCGCGCTCCTCGCTCTCGGCCGATCGGTGCCCGGATCCCGCACGCCCGATCGCCGGCCTCGGTGTTCTGCTCCCGCCCGCTGCCCGCGCGCAACTTCTGCACCTCCTGCCCAGAGTCCTTAATGGAAGTTGGGTGAGAACCGGCTCGTGTTCATTCATGCCCCGCGCTGACGTCACCTAAGCCCGCCCCCAGGAATGTCTTTAAAGGGGCCGGGCTGGCACCGGGAGAGAAGGGAGGGGAAATCCCAAGGGGTTTGGAGAGGACGGTGGGGCCCTCTGGACTCGCTGGTGCCCCCCCCCCCCGGGCCCTCCCAAGTTTGAGTGCTTCAAAGTGCCAGTGCCCACAGGGCTAGTCCTAGGTGATCTCGGAGCTGGGTTTCTTGCCCCAGGCGCGGGGATGATTTTGCTCTGAGCCACCCCCACTCTCACTCTGCCCTCCGGGACCAGGCTGAACGTTGGCCTGGGACCTGGGCTGAAATGAGCCGGGGTTGGGGGAAAGGGAGTGGAGGGCAAGAAGCAGTTGTCTCTTTAACAGCATGCATAGGAGGGGAGCTGCAAAATGGAACCAAATGTCCTTTTTCCTAGACCTCCAAAGTTTGGGAAACTCTGCTCAGGAGCCTCTAAGAATACAGTATGATATTCAGCTGAGCCTGAATCTTGGCCTCTGGCCTTCCAGACCTGGGCAAAGGGGCAGTGTCAAGCCCAGAAGTACATACGAGACTCTGCTGAACTACATGAGTTTCAGCACCTGCTCCAGCTTCTCCACCAACTACCGGACTCTGGGCTCAGTGCTGTAACACAGCCACTGGCCTGGCATGCCAGCATCACTGCTGGTGTCTATGCAGGTGCCAGGGTCTCAGGCCCCCTGGATCTCCACATCCCACTCCACCAGTGTCTGGGGGCCTGGCTGTGGAGATGACTAGGGGTCTGGCGGGCATAGGGAGCGTCCTGAGCAAGAAGAAGACTATGAAATGCCTGAATGACAGCCTGACTTCCTACCTGGAGAGAGTGAGGAGCCTGGAGGCTGATCATTGGAGATGGAGACTGGAGAGCAAATTCTGGGAACATCTGGAGAATAAAGGACCCCAGGTCAGAGGCTGAGGGCATTACTTCAAGACCAGAGACAGAGATCAGGGCTCTCAAGGAGGAGCTGCTCTTCATGGAAAAGAACCACGAGGAGGAAATAAATGGTCTACAGAAGCAGAATGCCAATTCTGGGTTGACCGGGGAGTTGGATGCCCCCACATCTCAGCACCTCAGCAAGATTATAGCAGACATCTGGGCCCAGTATGACAAGCCGGCTCAGAAGAACCAAGAAGAGCTAGACAAGTACTGGTCCCAGCAGACTGAGGAGAACACCACAGTGGTCACCTCGCAGACCACTAAGATAGGGCTGCTGAGATGACACAGAGCTGAGGCGTACAGTCCAGTCCTTGGAGAACGACCGGGGCTCGATGAGAAATCTGAAGGCCAGCTTGGAGAGCAGCCTGAGGGAGGTGGAGATCCGCTACACCATGCAGCTGGGACAGCTCAATGGGATCTTGCTGTGCCTGAAGTCAGAGCTGCCCCAGACCTGGGCAAAGGGGCAGTGTCAAGCCCAGAAGTACATACGAGACCCTGCTGAACATCAAGGTCAAACAGGAGGCTGAGACACCAAAGTTCTGAGGTGTTGAGGCAGCAGAAGCAGGGTACCTCTTTGAGGGACAGGAGGCCAATAAAAAGTTCAGAGATCACTGAATATATAAAGAAAAAAAGAATACAGTAACCTTAGAGCAGCCACTTGTAGAAATGAATCGGACATACATTATCTCACTTAATTCTGATCTGGGAGGTAGGTATTATCATCCCCATTTTACAGAAGAGGAAACGGGTTCCAAGGGCTTAAACAACATGCCCAAAGGTTGCACACCCCAAAGAAAGTAGAGCCAGGATTTGAATCTGGGTCGTCTCTGCTTTAACCGCTGCCCCACACGAGGGAAGGGTGGGCAAGGTGCTGTTGTGCGGAGCACCTCTCTCCCCACCCTGGCAAGGACAGAATCAGTTGGTCTGTTTGACACTTTGGAGGACACCTGCCTCCACCTGCTCCTTCGCAGGATCTCTCCCCAAAGGTTCCTCAGACATGAGCTCACCTTCCCTCCTGACGGAAGCGGCTGACATTAGTGAAACAAACGGGAAATGTCCCCTCACCTGCCTGCCTGGCCACCCACAGCTGTTGTTGCCCAACTGTCTTTGGGCCAGTCTGGGAGGAGAGTTGTAGCAGGCCTGATTTCCTGGGAGGGCCCAGCCCCCTCTGCCTGCCTCCTTCTCTCAGACCCCATCCTCTCCTGGGATCCCCGGGACCTGCTGGCCCAGCAGCTACGCTGGGCTACTCCAGTCCCCAGGTCCCCCTGCCAGATGTGGACTCCTCAGCCTCTTGGCCTTGGCGCCTACCCTTGGGAAGCGGGTCCAGACACCTCCCCTGGAGGGGGGGTTAATTACAGGTGTTGGGGTAGTATAATTAAAGCCTTTGACCATGATGGTGGGAGGAGAGTCTTGGTCTTCTGAGAGCACGTGAGTGTGCAAGAGTCCGTGAGAGTGAGTGCAGGTGTGAGTGTGTGTGGACGTGTTGGTGTGTGTGTGTGAGCACGTGTGGGCAGGAGAGGATTTGGGTATGAGTGTGAGTGTGCCATACTTAGCCGTGGTCGAGGACATAGACTAAGGAGTCGGCCTACAGTTTTTGAACATTTCACTTCTTAGCGTCTCAGCTGGCTCATCTGGAAGATGTCTAAACCTACTTCAGAGATCAAATAAGGTCATGCATGTAAACCACATGGGCCATGACTACAGAGCACACCTGACACCTGCTAAATCTCAGCTACGATTACAGTTACACATGGTACCGCCAAAGGAAGTAGCATCTGTGGCAGGCGGGGCATGTGGAATGCACAGGTGCCCCAGTGCCTCAATGGCACATGGAGTGTGTGTGTGTGTGTGTGTGTGTGTTACATACTATCTGTCACTGGACAAGGACCGGGCCTGGAGTGGGTCTGCCTCAGGCTGGCCGGGAGTGAGTGGGTTCTTGACTTCGTGCAAGAAAGATTTCACAATAAGAGTCTAGGTGATTTTGAGAGTACATTTATTAAATCTGGCGACAGTGTGAAAAAGGAAGGACTTAGAAGAAGCAGCAGTAGAGAGCCCAGGCGGGGCTGCTGTCAGCTCACCAGAAAGTCAGAGAAAAGGGGCCTTGGAGACAGGTTCAGGGCGTAAGCCTGGGATGAGCTGCTGCTGCCCGATGCTCTCCTGGTTGCAAGTCTCGTGGGGACCCTTAGAGTTTAGGAGAAAGAAAGTAAAAAGTTCATGCCCCAGAACAGGCATGGGTGTGCTCACAAGAGAGCCCTTGTAAGGTCTTTGTCTTCAGGGTTTTTATCTTTCTTCTGAGGTTGAGAATCTAAGGAGAGGGTCTTGGAATATTCTCCAGCTTTTCTGGTACATTTTTGTTTTTATAATCCTCATCTGAGATTATTCTTCCATTGCTTTTTAGAGGCAGTGGAAGGAACGGAACGGAGGGAGAGGGGGAGAGAGAGAGAAAGAGAAACATCCATGTGAGAGACACATCAATTGGTTGCCTCCCGCATGACCCTGACTGGGGCTGGAGATCTAACCTGCAACCCAGGTACGTTCCCCTGACCAAGAATCAAACCCTCGACCCAAACTGGCCAGGGCTCAGGTGCATTTTTAATATGCTGATGCAACAAAATGAGCATATATGGGAGTTAGGGGTTATCCTTTGGTCAGCTTTACTGTTTTACTTTTCTCTTGGGTCTATCTGGCTCCAATTGGGTGTTCGTTATTTGTTCCCCTGACTTCATCTGTCCTTGGGTTTGGCTAGCACAAATGGCATTAACTGGGTCTCTGTCCTCTGTCTCCCTGACCAGGGTGCTATAATCTATGTATTCTCTGGTTAGGGAAGAGCGGTATCAAATATTTGCTCTCAGGTGTCCTTGGTTAGGGAAGATAAGGTCTCATGATTCACTAGCTGGCTGTAAGTTGTTCAAATTGTGTGGCCCTGCTTAATTATCGGTCTCAGTTTCCCCATTTCACTTGCCCAGGAACTTTCCCAGCTTCTTGCTGTCCTGACTCAGTATGGACAGTGTTTTGCCTGTTGCGTTGGATCTCTGGGCTGTGGACACTGTGGTGAGCATAAAGCTTCATGTGGCTGCAGGTGAGACTCCGTCTGCATCTGTGTGTCACACGCCATTTGTAGGCTCTGCGTGTTGGATGTGTCACTCGAAGATGTGCCAAGAGGGCAGAATGTTTGTCTGTGCAGACAGTATCTGACACACAGCAGGTATTCAGCAAACCTCTGCCGAATGAATGAACTAGCCAGTGAATGAAGAGTGTTGGCGACCTCTGCGCTGCGTGAAAGTCTCTGTGTGTTGTGTTGGTCGGTCCTTTGTGTGGCACGCGTGGGTTTCCATGCATGTCTCCGGAAGGTTGAACCCTGTGTCCCGGGGTGCAGGCAGGCCCTGCTGGCTGTGTGGGCTGTGTGCCTGGGGATATGTGCCCAGCTAGGTGCTCAGAGCTCCGAGCTGGGTGTTGCTCATCGATGACGTGCAATGTGAGCAGAGGCCTGTGGGAAGGTGCAGTGTGTGAGGTGGCCAGAGGGTGTGGGGCAGTGGCAGTTCTTTGATCTTTAGTCACTCACCTGGTGACACCACTCTTCCCTCTCTTCCTGTTCCAACCCGAAATCCTTCCCGCTCTGGGTGACTGGATGCTGAGAAGGAAAGTTCTTTGGTGAGTCTTATAACGCAGCACTGAACAGTGGTATTTATAGTGACATAATAAGCCCTAATGGAGATGGAATTACCCCATAAAGGCCCCGAAGAGCCCTCAGGGCCCGAGCGCCAGGCAGCGAGCAGGGCTTCTGCCACAGCAGGTGGAGTCCGAGCGTGTTCGTGCGCGGTTGCCTGGCCTCCGCTGCGCATCCCCTCCTGTCGCCCACCAGCCTTTGCAGACTTGGCTGGGGGCTCGGGCAAGCAGAGAACGGAGATAAACTTTCAAACAACAGGCCCTCCTTTGGCCTG